TAGTTATTTGCAATACTGAAATTTGATTGCAAAATTAATGCATCTTTACCAGATATATAGTCAGACTAATGTAAAAACTTTATTTTTATCCTTTTTTGTCACCCCTCTATCCACAGACAACTTTTTCTGCACGTGTCACAAGGTTTTAGTGAGTTACATTACAAATTTAAGTAAACTATTTTATTTTTATGATATACCAATAAATATAGCATAAAAACATAACTAATAATCCATACTTTAATAGTATATTATATAAGTTTTAAGTCCTTACTTTCATAAGGAAATATTGTAAAATAAATTCCCCTGGTGCGATAATTGTGACATTTGCTCTCTTGGCATTCTCTTTTCTCTAATTTATTTACCAACCCTCCAAAAAGTACAAAATTTAACAAATTACTTATTATAATATCATCATTGCTCAGGCAAAACATAATTTAGTTACAGAGCCATGAAATAGACAACTAGGTCCCTTTTGTCATGCCCACCTGTCACATCCTCTCTTTCAGAAATTGTCAATAGTTCTATCTGATGTTCAATACTATAATATTTATAACCAATAGAAAACTAAGGTTTTCATCTATAAAATGACATACTATGTTGTTTTCTATAGAGAGAACTGTCAATTTCTCTTTCAGTTAAAACTTGATTCCCACAGAAAATGCATTGACAAGCTTAAATGAAGTTTTAATGGCTCTTGTCACGTAGTTAGAAAGCCAGAAAAACTATGGTAATTATGAAACAGTCAGCTTTTTGCATGTAATTATTCTGTGTTCTTTGGTGCATTATTTAATTAAATAAAAAATCACTTAGTGCAGTGCTACCTTGAGTATAAAAAAGTAGGATTAAATATCATGGACAGTTGACAGCAACAAAAAAGAAGACCCAGGTAAGTACTTTTTTTTTTTCATATGTATTCTTTATTTATTATTATAAAAGTAAATAAAATGGAAAAGTAGGAAACTTTTGATACTAGTTATGGTTAAATAAATAATAATGATATAATAAAAAAATTTCACAATGTACATTTGCAATTAGCTCGTGCATAATGTAATTCAATAACATAAGGTGATCTACACTTTCGCCAAGCAATTTACAAGTTATGATGGTGCAAACAGTAATTAGACAGGGTTTAAATAAAACCATAAAATGTAAGTCTAAATAGATGAATGTTATGAATTTAAAACTATTTAGGATAACTAAATATAGTTTCATATTACAATTTGAAATCATTCTAGAAAGAGAAAAAAGCATAGTTTTTGATTTATTTCAATTACTTAGGGTAGAGAAAATAACAGATAAAGTATAAAGTTTTACTGAAAAAAAAAAGTTTTAAATTTATTTCATAAATTTGACATTTTTGAGAAGGGGAAAATGTTTAATATTGATGTGGAAATCACTTATCACTCAGAGACTAGTATATAGAACTACTATATATATGTATATATGTTCCCGGACAAATCTTTAGTAAAAATACTTCATTAAAAAAAATCTAATATTTTGTGTACAAAAGACTTTTAATGTTTATTAAAAGTCTGCCAAATTTTGTGAAGATACATAGAGTGTATTAGAAGTTATAGTATGGAAACTATAACTATAGAATTAAAGAATTAATAAATAATTTAGGTTCAAATTTTCACTACTTTTCTGTTGTTATATTAACTTAGTTTTATTTTGTATAATTTTTAAGTAGTGGTTACAATATCAGTCAAATGGACTAAGTTAGTATAAAATATTTGAGTAGAGGAAATAACAGAAAATATATTTTTAATAAAAAAACTTTTGGTATTCATTTAAAAGGTTATGCAAATGAAATATAAAACTTTAAGATGAAAAATTATTTTTATACTTAATACGCAAGTCACCTTGCACTCTGACTCAGTTAAGGCTTCATAAATTCAAATTTTTAGTAAAAACATTAAATTAGAAATTGACTTTTTTGTTCAACAACTTGCTACTTTTATGAAGATACACTTACAATAGTAAATTAAGAATTATAGCATTTATAGTTTCATGGTTATAATGTTGGTCAAAATGACAAAACCAATACACAGAGAGTTAAACCAATATATATTCCTTCACTAAACAGTAATGACAAAAATAAGGACTTACAGTGACTGCATTGATATCAGATTCGTGACCTGGGAAAGTCTGTTTGCACATTCCATCACGAACGTCCCAGAGCTATACAAGCAGCAAAATTCATTAACCAACACATACAGAAATAAATGTTAAAAATATTTAAACAAGCTTAACAGTTTTCTATCTATAGTTAATAAATTAAACTTTTCAAAAAAAGTTATTTATTATAAATATAATATTCACACATCAGTTCTGGATCAAAGACAAAATACACAATGAATGTTTTTATACAACCATTGTAGTTCTCACAGATCTCAAATGCATTTCATAAAAAATTCAACAATTGTATCCAAATGAACATTTAAAGTACAGCACATGTAATACAAGTAACAAACTACTGTTGTCCTCCCCTACCAGTTCATACATGCACCTTAGTCTACATGTGTAGAACAAAACTGTTTTTGGCCTTAATGTTTAACTGAAATACAAGCTTATATATATGGAATACATACATAGGGTTTTTTTCCATAGGGCAGAGGGAAGTTCCCCTACACACTCCCCTAGATTTGCTGCAAATTTGAGGGTTTTATTTCTAGACACACTTGTAAAAAATCTTGGGGAATACAACTAGACCATACTTATAGATATACAGTAATTTTTGCACTCAAATGCCCCACCCCACAGTCACAAAGTAAAATCCCCACCCCCAAACATAAATTCTGAAAGAAACCTCATGCACACACAAATAGGAATACACATAAAATGAAAACTTGATTGTAGCAAACTAACTTGAAAAAAAGAAGACAAAAACAACTTTCCTTTACAATATTACTATTTAGCACCCTTTTTTTAATGTCCAGTCACAACATCATGGTTTCTTAACTCAGGTGCATAAAGAGGAGCAACATCTTGTTTGGGGTCTCTTGAGTTGTTGCAACACATTATTCAGGCTCTTTTCTAAACACTGGTGTGTGTGTGTGTGTGTGTGTGTGTGTGTGTGTGTGTGTGTGTGTGTGTGTGTGTAG